AAATATAAACGAAAGTAAACGAGTGTAAACGAATACAAAGGGATTGCAAAAGGAATACAACGGAATTATAACGAATATAAACTGATACATACACAAATATAAACGAATATAAACGCATATAAGTGAAAATAAAATCACCGCAACTCGATGACGACGGGATCAATTTCTAGCGATGCTAATATTAAGTATTGCTTTAATTATTAGTCGTCGACGACGTCATCACATTAGCTTGATGCTTTTTCAGAAGAGAATGCGTGGGCGGCTTCGTTAAATGTCGAGCCAAATTCGACCGCGGTGTTGAATTATAAAGGAACGTCCCGTGAACGGTCTGAAGAGCTTAAACCTAGCGTTAATGCCCACATAGCTTGAATTCCTCCGATTTTTATAATCTAGCTCGTCCATTAAGGGGGCAGTTTCATACTTTTTTTTATATTAATCTCATTTTTTACATTCAAATTCAAATTTTTAAGGAACAATAATGAATCAAATAATAACAAGAATTCTATCCACTTTACGAGGAGTGAAAGAGTCGTACATGCGATACTCGATATTATTAACAATAAATTATAAAGTATGCATTATTCCGTTTCGAGATACATTCTCGACATTCGAGTGTAATTCGGACACTAGTGCTACGAAATGGAAACTGTCAGCAGACCCGAGCACATTTATACAAACACCTGGTAGGTACATGGATAATGCGTTATGAATTCAATGACCACATTTCCATGAAATATCTGTCACAGCATTTTGGGGGAGAAACCTGATGCGTGTAACCAATATTTCGCGTATTTTGTTTAAATGACATATTTACATCTACATTAGAGTCCGATTATTACGCGCGTGTTTAATAAATAAGAACTCGTCCATTGCAGTGATAGTGATATTAATTTTGAATAGTAATTTAATTATAAAACTCCGTAGATACATTATGCCCTTCTTTCTGTTGATTTTCTTTTTTTTAATAGAGATTCAGATTAAGAAAATCGTCCCCATTAAACGTGCAATATGTAATAAACCCGTGTGTTTCTCAACTTTGCGCGATTTTCAAACTTCTCCTTGGAGCATACTTTGATACTCTAAACAATAATCCCCGTGACGCTGTAGTCGATGAATCAAGTCGACTTAGAATGTTATCACGGGACGAACGCGGTTCGTTTTGCCTCAATTTGCCTATCACACGCGTCAAATCCTGTGGCATAATAAATATAAGGCATCGTGCGACCCGTCGCTTCTAAATGGATGACTAGTATTCTTGTCCAAAAGGAGCTGGCGTGAAAAGGATACCTCGATCAAGGAAATATTCGAGATTACTTGACGATACTGTCAAGCATAAAGAAGAGAACGTGGCAACGAAAAGCTCAGAAAAATTGTTTTCCTTTAAATCAACAAGTCACGTTTTATTTAAAATTCTTTATCCATCTAGTTTTCCTTAACAAGTCGATCGAACAAGGAAATTTACGCCTTAAGAAATCTTTGGAAGTTACGAAACCTATAAACGTTTATGTAATTAATAAATTATAACAGTTGCAAACTTTTAAAGGACTGCTATTATTATAATTAGAATTAGAATCGAAGGCAAATCGAATCGTCTCCCCTAGTGGAGGAATACTGTCTCCTCCTCGGGTACAAGAAATGCAGCCAGCCTAATCGCGATACCAATTAATATTTCTATCTTTCGTATACGTATTGATCTTATTTCTTAGATAGTTATATTATATGCAAATTCGTTGAGGGTCGTCCGTGTATGAATGTCGCAATTAAGCGCAGCCTTGATCGAGAACAATCGCCATCCCTTGTTTCCATCGATGCTTTCGGCCTTCGGTCGACGCGCTTGATGCAATTAGGGGATGAACGCGAGCTGCTTTTCGAGAATTCGCGCGGTCGATTTGCATCGCTCGAATACCAAGTAGCGCAAAGCGTCGTCTATGAGACATTCAGTTGGCTGTAAACACAACTTGTCACGTAACCGAAATTTCATTTGCGCGCTCCGTCGAATTGTAAATTCCGTAAACACAAATGTCTTGAGTAACACGCTATTATCGATCGTCATGCTTGTGAAAAATGAGCAAAAGTCAAAACTTCAACGAAAGGATTGGAGACAGTGGTGAGAAGGAAATCACTTTCTATCGAGAAGGAGTCTAATTAATACGCAGTCGGGCAACTTGGCTGGCTAATTTGTACCGTGCACGGTTAATGAACGCGGTAATTAGATCCACGTCGAGTTCATAACTTTCGTGGAGCCCTGAGCTACGATGGGATAATCGAGTGGAATGCTTCGGTAAACGGCTCGTTAGATTATCCAAGTAACATTGCTGTCCTCGGAAAACTAGCCGTGCCTCGTGTATACGGAATGGTGTTACCTGAATTTTGCAATCGAACCGATCAAACAATTTTCAACTAGTAAATGCATGTTTTATACAAAAAGATATTTATAAAAAAGCGATCTGATTGCTGCAGTGGATCCTGTTTCAGAAGGAAAATTAACGAGACGAATTAAACGCAAGTTTAAAGAAGTCGAGAACAACCTGAACTCCCGTCCTTTTAATTATTACTATTAATAAGTTCTAGACCTTCTTCGGGAACTATCCTACAAACTATGATTCACATTTTATTTGAAATAAAATCATTCACGCGGAGGCGATTAAATTATTTCAATTCTAGCTTGCAATTCTGCTAAATTGTAATCACTAATTAAATTAGTCTTAAATTAGTTGATTATTATAATAAATTCCTGAGAGAGATTCATTTTGTAACAGATTAAAACTATTATAAAGGATGAGTTGCGACATCTGATGGTGTCTCGCGGAACACATACGAGAAAGCTGGTATCGCAGTCGAGGATTCGCAGCAGTTAAAATTCCGTAGCAATTATCCACGTGTCTAATTAATTTTAATTGGCGCGAACATTAAATATGGGATGGCAAGAGAGCGAGAGACCAATGGAAACGAGCAAGATAATAATGGGCCCAGCCTGCATGCAACCGTGGATGTACATATATATTACGGTGTACGCAGCTTCGTGCCATTCAATCAATTATCGCGTAAATCCTGCGTGCGTGTTATTAACGCGCTTCTGAATAGCGTAACTCGCCTTCTGGACGCTGTTATTATTAGTCTCTTTCAGCGTATAGTAAAATTACGTTAATTCATTCAAGGTTTGGATCTGAAAACACGTGCTGAGCTTGCTAAAACGCCATTCTTGAGATCTACGCTAGCAGATTAGAGCGATTTCTAGAAAGTATTCGTTTTAGCATCAGTGACTACGTTTTTCAATAATTTACCCCAACCATTTGCACCAGTTTGTAGGAACATAAAATTTTCATGTCCTCCACCACTTTCAATTTTGTTTATCCTTCGTGTACATGGAAGGTGTCAAAAGACTTAATCTTGACAAACCAGACTCGTGGATATTGCACAAGTTGGAACTTGACTCTTGACAAACCTTCTTCTTTTGCAGGTGGTAGTGCCGAAGAGGGCGGCCCTCCTGCTTGATCGACTAATGGTCGCGCTGCAGAAGGTTGTCGATAACCAAGACAGAGGAGAACTTGGTAGCGTTAGATCCTTCGGGAGATCTTCGGGACCTCATCTGCCATCCAGCGACTCGCAAATTGTCCCATCGGCAGACGAGGAAACCGTCAAGGTTGCGTTACATTTGATTACCTTTGCGCTATGAGGTCACCTCCGTCTAATGCTTCGTACAGTTAATAAATCAAATTAGTTAAAATGTATCAAATACGTTAAAATGTATCATACTTTAAACAAACATAAATAATTCCGAGCAATTACTTTCTACCTAAGATGAGATATCGAAGCAAAAACAATGAAATCAAAGATGACGAAGGACAAACTAAAGAAATAATTATAACGCGAATAGTTAATATCATTGCAGCTTTGCTACACTTTGGTCACTCTAATCGAATGTATACACATAACAGGTGTAAGCGTAAACATTTGTTTGCTTCAGATGGACCTTCAGCGACGCGGACAATCGAAAGGACGGGTTTACTGGCGTTGCTACTTCAACGCTGTGACGTGCTTCAAGAGAAAGTGATAACGAGCAGGCGTGTAACCAGCCTCAGCCTCGACTTCGAAACCCGACTCGACGACTTCGTATCGCCTCGCCCAGCTCTGCCAGTCGCAACGTGGTCGAGAATTCCTCGCGTGCTTTTCCGATCTGAACACAAACAAATAAATCGCGAAGCCAAGACAAACTAGGCCCTAATTCCAACTTGATAATTCTACCTTTCCTTACGAGTCGGGATTACCCACTTGCCCTAACTCCCCTTCGTCTACCTCTCTAACGCTCTTCTCTTCCCTTACAAGCATCGACGACTGGGAGAGCAATGAATATACGAATCACTGTGTCAAATATTTGTTTCCCTGACTTATAAAGCGGTCGGCATACCAGTACCCATTAAAAGTGTATACATAATCAAAGCGTATCAAGCAAGACGAAACCTACTATGGTCGTTCAATTTAGTTCTAAATTCAAGCGATCCTTCATCGATAAATACTATCCTTGATCGATTTCCATCCACTGTTTCCTAAATTTCTCACCAACTCGCGTAGAAGGTAATTCGGTCGTACTAAGGATACGTTCCATGAGACGATAAGTGTATCTAACAACCACGTGAATACATGCAGATGTAACAAAATATCTACCGGTATGATACTTGTATATAAATAGCAAGGAATCATTTTACAATTTAAAAATATAAGTAATCAAGGTTAGATCTACAGAATGAAGTACATTGCGGGTAATTAACTTTAAAATTTTGCTCGCGTGGCAAGCTCTCTTTTCAACTAAATTCATCTCGTGGAAGGTACTACATTATCACGCCCACGTTGATAAGTCAAGACGCCCACGAATCGTTGTTTCCGTTACATCAAGGGTACTGTGTACACATGGATATAATCTCGTGATTGACACGAGATCGAATGTAATCGACGTTCCGTGCTTCGTTGCGTTCACGATATCCGATATATCTTTGGTCTTAGTATTATTATATTGAATAAAGTGATGATTCAAATTGCTAGTTGTATACAAATGGCTGCTTTTATTCGATCTTTATTAACACGTTAAATTTCTCGTCAGGTTTATTGAAAATGAGTTTATTCAACATAAATTCTTGAAAACTGTCTGATCAAAGCTGCGACTGTCATATGTAGGGTACAAAAATTCTAGGCTTACTAACACTTTATTTCCATTCATTGAGCCCCATAACAACCCATGATAACCTATAACATTGAGTGACATGGGTTCGACGACCAATTGCTATAAATCGTGTAATTAGGTTATAGGTACACAGTGTTTAGAAACGCATATTCTGATGGAACTCACGCGCTAATTTGAAGCCCTATCGAAGGTTTTCACCGCTAAGTGGAGTCGCATGCTTTCATTGCTATGGATAACCTTTCCAGACACAGCACTAATTCGCAGTGCTTGGTATACGGAAACATGTCCACAGCAACAGCTTTCACAGGTACCAAAGGTTCCCCGATGTACTGCTTCGAGGTGGGTCTGGCCAGATCCACCAGGTTTCGCGCTGCAGCTCGAGGATCGCAGGATACATACACCAGTCTCGATAATTTTTTCGCCTTGCGCAGAGTCAACAACGCTCGCTGATCTAGAATAATCGGAATATTATTATTATTATTACTAAAATTTATTGGACTCTCCAGAAATAAAATAAATGGTAAATTCATCATAGTGAAAACCAAAAATAACATATTGTATTTTGTCCTTAATTTCTTAAGTCGAGCACAACCCTCTGACTTAAATATTAAATTTTTATTAATTTTATCTTACGAAGTCCGGCTCGCGGAGGGTCCACGACAGCGATAATGTCGGGCTTCGTGGTTCGCTGAATGACCGGTGACAAGATGTCCTCAGCTTTGCCGACGAAAAACTCACAGTTGGTCACGTTATTCGCGACAACATTCTCCCGGGCGTCTTTAATGGCATCCTCCACCATCTCCAGTCCGAACACCTCACCACAGTGCTAAAACAAGAATCAATAACCTCGAACTTTACATATCCAGGTTACTACATCGAATGTACAATTATATTTTATATACCGCTCACAAGGTCAACTGTACCTTTGAAAATACGAGACCAATTGTCCCTGTACCACAGCAAATATCGAGCAATGCAGTGTCCTTTGTGGGTTTTGCTAAATCGATTGCTGCTTTGTACAATACCTCAGCACCCAACGTGTTCACTTGGAAGAACGCTTGCGGGGACACTCGAAATTTCATACCTAGCAGTGTCTCTTCTATGTATTTTGTTCCGCTGATGTGATACAAATTGTCTCTGTTCTCCCCGTTGACGCTTTTAAAAAAGAACAAAGAAACTGATAGGACCCAATAAGATTTCTCTAGGAAATCAATTACAATTACTTTTTATTCATCGTTTGAAAATATAAAGATGTTACGCCCGCCGTTGCACCCTTTCCTGTCTCAAAGAAATCTTTGAGCTGGGATCTTAATTCTTCCAACCTCTCCGAGCTCAAATCCTGAGGATGCATTCCCACTATTACCATCAGATTCCCGGAAAGACTAGTTCTGACGGTAACCTGCCTCCAGTACCCGCTATGATCGACTGGTTGGAAAGGATTCAGTTGAGAATTTTCTATAAATTCTTCTAGTACCTAAAATTTACTTAATACAAAAAACGAATTTAGAGGAACGACTAAATTAAAAGAAGTCATTTAGAAAACTCACTTTAGCTACAGTTCTCATTTTCATAGGGATGTGACATAGATCGTCTATCGGCCCCACTGCCGTGGAACCGGCCGCGTAACTGGATAATCTGAATCCTACTGTAACTTTGTCTCCATCATTACTTCTACCTATATTGCATTAATGTTGTGTTTCTTAATGCCAAAGATTCAAATGATTTCACAAAATAAGTATTTAATAGGGAATTACCAACTGTAAATTCACACTTATTCCTGTACTCTGTGATTTTATCTGTGCTAAGCAGAGGAAGTAATTCACAAGGCAATCCCTTATATTTATTTTTCTGGGAGTTTAACCAATCTACAAGGTCATCTCTGCTCGCTATTGACATTTTGTTACAAATATTTTTGAGAATAGACCTCATTTCCTTCTGTTTAAGCTCCAGCTACAAATATATTAAGCGAAAATTAAACATTACAACATTACATTCTAAACTTGCTAACATACTTATTTACAAAACTGGTAAATAAATAAACTTAAAGCATATTATCTCACTTGATTCTCGTATGGTATATTCCACAGAGGAATAGTAGTTGACTTGACTTTATCTGCTTCAGATATACTTAGATCATTCTCATCCAATTTTAAACGCTTGTTGGTTCTTTCCTCTTGCAGTCTTCGTTTGACAAATGGATCTTTTGCAGGTTTTGCATTCTATTTTACACAGACAAGGAAGACCTATAGTTTTTTGTACATCATAATTAATTACTACGATTTGATAAGAGCTAGAAAAAGAGATGTACCTGAGCTCTGAGCTCACAGTTTTTCCATACAATCCCATTCAATGTTTGTATAGCTTTCTGACGACTCTCTTCGCTGTTAAACGACACGAAAAGCCATCCACTACCATCTACTGTCACTGGTTTCACCTTGCGTGCTTGCAAATCGAGCTTTTCGTTCAGAAACTTCTTCAATTCAGCTATTCCATAGTATTTTGGCAAACCGCGTACCTCGATTTTATACTTTTCAGACGTGAAATCATCTCTGTCGAGGTACGCGTAAGGATTCTTCTCGGTTACAGTGGTTTCGTTTGTGGTCATTGTTTTCAAATTTTATTACTATAACTACAAATGTAGTTCACCTACCAAACTATGTTAAATATGTACAATGAATGAGAATACTTTAACTAAGGCAAGTGTTCGTATATACATCTGTCTATCAAAAACACGTGTTGTCAATTGTATCAGGTTAGGGTCTAACCTCAGTGTTTTTCAAAGTGGAATCAACAAACTCTTAGAAGAAAAAATGTAAACATTAATTTTGTCTGTACTAGAACCATAATTCGATCACTTCTGGAGGAAAATTGTCTAGCGGTTATGATTAGCGTACAAGACGTTGAAAGCCGCAATCACAATGCTCACGCTAGAAGAATGTACTGCTATTTAATGCGCAAACAGGCTGCGCAGTCATCTCCGCACTGTGCTATTATGATAATACTTATTTTGAACTTGTTATCGCCGTTTAAAGGTTTATTTTCTTTAAATAGAAATAATCTTTTCGTTAAAGAAATTCTTTAATTATTTCTAAATGTCCATTGCATTTTTTGATGAACTCCACGAAATTCTGAAAGCTTCCATACAGAAGAAGGATACTCATATGAAAATGAGTATTTGAAAGTATACCAATTGACGTCACTGTTAATCTATACAGAGCAAAGACTTTTACCGAAATACGAAACACTTTTGTAAATTAGTTTGTCTGTCCTGTCGAGATGAAACGGCAAATATATCAGAATTTAAAAATATTAAATTTCGAAATATCATGCATACCGATTAATTTTGATGCTATATAATATTGTAACGTGTGATAATTGAAAATCTTCTCTAACATTGACAGAAACGTAGTTCATACGATTCTAATGCCGTGACTATTTTTTGTATTTGCAATAAAACGATCCTCATCGTGAAAACACTCTTAAAATAAGTATTCAATTTATTCCCGCGCTTTATAGTGTTGATATCATAAGCTGAGATCCTTAGTCCACCGCAAGTAGCGCTGCACTCGGAAATCCTCGCATCTTACAAGACTGAGCGTAGTTCGTAGTTTTACCCAGTTTTACCGCAACTCGTTGGGTGGAAACGTGTTTTGTGAGTTCGCATTTTGTTTCGTAATTTGAATCCACGACTACCTTCATATTTACACAACGATTGTCTCCTAATTAAGAAGAATGTCTAGCAAACCCGCGTTCAAAGTTGGTAAGTCATATACTAAGAAAAGAATTTTGGAGTAATATTCATCAGACACGTGATTGTTGTTTTGGAACAGAATTAGTAATCTCTTTTCGCGATATTTAAAGCACAATATTGCTTGAAGTACTCAAAGCTATCGAGTTACAAAAATTTGATAAAACGTCGTTAGGAAAAGGTATCTCTAAATGCGGATTTAATCTGAAAAAGATTAAAGATGTAAAATGTACTGTCGGCACACTGTTTAACCTACGCGGCATACGTCTGTTAGATTAATTGGCTTTCTTCGTTGCATATTCGTACTTCCAAGTATAAAACTGATAAGATGAGGGAATATAAATAAATCTCCTGTTACATAGAGTACTGGAGCAACGTAATGTTTGAAAATTATGTCGTAATACACCGACGACTCCGTTTTATGCAAACTACTGGAAGTCAATTTTAATCCTACAATTATAGTCTCGTAATCACTGTCGCAATAAATCAATACATAAATTGTTAAACGGGAAAATCTAGTTTAACGTGGGTGGCATACTTTGTGTTCGATTACTCTAATATTTATAGATACGCGAAGATACCGGTACGATACGTAACAAAGTTGAAAAGAGAAATTTGAACAATTGCAGTCGAAATTACAACGATTATTGTGAAATTTAATAATGTATTGAAATTTTCTTCATCGCAGCCGACTTGTCTCTGGCGGAATGGGGCCGAAAAGAAATTACCATGGCGGAAAACGAGATGCCAGGGTTGATGGCCGTCAGGAAAAAATACGGTCCTGAAAAAATTTTAAAAGGTGCACGAATCGCCGGTTGTCTGCACATGACAGTACAAACCGCGGTTCTCATTGAAACTCTTGTCGAACTTGGAGCCGAGGTAAGTTGTAACGTTTTCATTTCGCAATTGTTTTTACAACTCTCATGGCTCCAAAATGGAGTTGATTAGCAGGGAACGATCTAGATAACACTAATATAAAACCATTTAGTTGCTAATCGAATTTATATCTCTTCAATGTTCAATAGCTATATTTTTTTTTTATTTGGAAATAGTAATTTCTTAGATATGCTTCCTGTTATTTATGAATTGTATTCTACTTCAAATCGTATTGCATCATAGGAAAAGTCAGTTACGCTGACGAAGAACGAACTTTACGTTAAAGAAGAATGACGCGTTTACATACGTATGCAAACTTATCTCTTGGATCATGACCTCGCATTTTTCACGAGATTCGTCTACATCTATATCAGACATTGAATAGCTTTCAAATCTCTTCAAAATACAGATAAAAATTACATCAGAAAAGACGAAATCCGCAATGCTGATCGCCACTGTAACAGAACTTATAGCATTTGAAACTAGGAAAAGAATATGCTCAGATTGAACTACAATGATACTTAGACCTGTTATTCACACTGCTTTGCATTCATATAAAATGCATTTCTTATCATTGGCATTGAATAGCATTCTTATCATTGAGTAATGATCTCTTACCATTTATCATTATAAGTAATTCCAAAAAATGTAATAGAGAATATTTTGGTCTTTAAAATATTCAATGAAATAAACCCACACTTCTGTGAACAATTTTGATTACCGTGATTTTAGACAATTTGGTCCTAGAATCATTATTAAAATTTCGATTATAAAGATATTTATGTTTGAATCAAACATTTCAACGTTTTCACGTATACATATATCACTATAATCACTTTATTCTAATACTACATGCTGCTTTAAAAGGATACAGTATCGTTTTCTTGTATTATCAAGTGTAAAAGAAATACATTATTTCATTTAAAAAATGTTTACTTTCTTACAAGAATTCTTTCTGTACCACGCAACTTCTCTTCAACATATCTTTCGATATCCAGACAAACATTTATTCATCTAATACTCACACTCTAAAAGCTATTCACTATAAAATAATTCTTCAGTGATTGGCATCGACGCTATTTATTTGCTAGGTTCAATGGTCATCGTGTAATATATTCAGTACACAAGATCATGCGGCTGCAGCTATTGCAAAAACGGGGGTTCCTGTATATGCATGGAAGGGTGAAACAGATGAGGAGTACATCTGGTGCATAGAGCAAACCCTTGTCTTCAAAGATGGCAAACCTTTGAATCTCATTCTTGATGATGGTGGTGACCTGACTAACTTAGTTCACACCAAGTTTCCAGAATATTTAAAGGAATGTCGTGGCATTTCCGAGGAGACCACCACGGGAGTGCATAATCTCTATCGCATGATGAAAGAGGGAAAACTTAAAGTCCCTGTGATCAACGTCAATGATTCAGTAACGAAGGTCCGTTGCGTTTATGAAATTGGTTCCTCGTTTCAAGAAATGAGAAAATGCTTTGATCTAGAATTAGAAATTTATAGGTTGCTGCAGGGAATTTTTGTGAGGTTTTATATGCAATATTTCACTATTCAATGTCCTGTATTTGATTCAGTAAATGTGAAGAGGTCTGTAGGAAGATGAGATTGAGAAACACCGACACAGATTATCAGCTATTTAGAAGTTTACAAGAATCCCTGCAACCACCTCGTTTCAACTTCCTCTATTCCCTAATCGCGGCTGAGTTAAGGATTTTAAATGAAGCGAGATTGTCTTTTATTGAGCAGAGTAAGTTCGACAATCTGTATGGATGCAGAGAATCGTTAATCGATGGTATTAAACGAGCAACGGACGTTATGATTGCTGGCAAAGTCTGCGTGGTCGCTGGTTACGGAGATGTTGGTAAAGGTTGTGCGCAGAGTCTCAGAGCACTGGGTGGTCGTGTTCTAATCACAGAAATTGATCCCATTAATGCGCTGCAAGCAGCTATGGAGGGATACGAGGTGATTACTGAAACATAAAAGTGGAATGACAATATTTTAGAACCCATCAACGAAGGTTGATGAACTTGTATATGTACTTCCTAGGTAACCACAATGGAAGAAGCATCGACCAAAGGACAGATATATGTCACAACTACTGGATGCAAAGACATTATATTAGGCCATCATTTTGTGAATATGCCAGAGGATGCTATTGTTTGCAATATCGGTCACTTCGACTGTGAGTTAGACGTCAATTGGCTTGAGAAGAATGCAGTTGAAAAAGTCAACATTAAGCCCCAAGTAGATAGATATCAGTTGAAGAATGGCAGGTGGGCAGCTATATGTATAATTAAAACTTGCATTACTTACAGAAAATATATTTCGAAAGAAAGAAATCGGAAAGAATCGATTAAAATTAATTTAGCATCTTACCTTTAGTTAAGTTCAGATGCTGTAAATCGAAGATGAACAGGTTTTTTAACGTTTTCGGTCCTCCCATTTCAGACACATCATACTCCTCGCAGAGGGTCGTTTAGTTAATCTTGGATGCGCGACGGGACACTCAAGTTTTGTAATGAGCAATTCTTTCACGAATCAAGTGTTGGCACAAATAGAATTGTGGACAAAGTCAGAATCCTATCCGATCGGCGTTCATATGTTGCCGAAGAAATTGGATGAAGAGGTTGCAGCATTACATTTGAATCATCTTGGCGTCAAACTAACTAAACTATCAGAAGAACAGGCCAAATACCTCGGTGTACCTGTGGAAGGACCTTACAAGGCTGATCATTATCGATATTAAACATTGTCAAATGTCCAAAGGCTTCTTATGTACTTCTATAAAAACGCAACGATAGTGATTCAAATTAAATTCTAAAAAAAAAAACACTTAAAATACAATGATAAACAGTGGTCGAACACGCAACTTCATTTATTTATATTTTAATACAACGGACTAAAATTTTTTTATATATTTTTTGTTGTCAATAAATAAACTGAATTGCTTGTTAGACCACTATTCGGCGTTTTACTCGTAAATTGTCATTTTTAATTTTCCGGTCGATTCATTTGTTAATTTTATTCTGAACATCGAAAGTTTTCTGTACATACGTCCGGTAGTTATGTAATTAACATTTTCAAATAAATTCAATTTGTTCACGAGCACAGTGTATTCAAATGGCAGAGAAAATCAGAGGCCTGAACTCCGTTAGAAAAACTGAAAACTTTACCCCATTGAAAGTTAGTCCTTTAATAAAGGTAATAAGTACGTCGTAAAAAATACTGAGATCTCTTATTATACACAGAACAATTTGACTTTAGTTAATCAGATGGTCTCGTTTAATTGTTGGTGTGATAACACTAGTTATTCCTACCAGTGACAATAAAGATATAAAGATGTAAATGAAATGGTGCTTCGAAAATATGAAACTTGTTAAAGAAAAACGTATTTATTATTTTGTCATAACATTAATTATAAATATATATATATATTGTCACTAGTATGTACAAACTCTTTTATTTTATTTACACTTTTAAAAGGGCAGAACTTTCCTGCAGACAGTAACATCCACATCCTGTCGGACATAGAATTTCATTTGTGAACCATTTTGCTAAGTGCTGTGTGTGTCCTCCGTGGCCACAAAATATACAAAAGTTACTTGGACCTGAATATACCAGAAAAACATAATTAAGAAAATTAAAAATGTGTAATTAATATTCAACGCACCTCTCACAGAGATATGACAAATAACACATTCCAAGGCCAGTCGTTTGCAACTGATACATTGAGGACCTCTGCTAACTTTGCTACATATTTGGCATTCGCTTTGGAACTCAACGCCTTTGTGGGTATCCAGAGGTGTTACGCTAACGTGTTTTAATACTTGTGCACGAGCATCCAACAAACGCCACCTGTGCAATACTTCAGCGTATGCCTTTTTGTATCCATCGTAAAGCGTAGTGTATTTTTCATCGAGTAATCTACGAAATAATTAACATACAAGCAATGTAAGTTGATTCTAGCTAACCATTAAGTATATATCTAATGTATATATATACCTAATATTTGTTACGGAATCACCGAATGAGTCTTGAATAAGTTTCAAATCGTCGAGCGAATCAGACCAAGAATTAGATCGATGTTGTTTCAAGTTTGGAAAGTTCCATCCTTCTAACGTGGTATCAGCTAGGTGAATCGTATGGTAAGGTGAACCACCTGGCTAGAAGGACACATTGGACAACATAAATCACTGTTCGACTTATACACAGTCAATCGGCGATATAAATACGATATACATAATAAACAAATAAAACGGCATTATGTCTGTGATCACTTCTTGCACAAAGAAATTTGTCTTCTGTGCAAAACTCGAGGCATTATCACAACAAACAGTACATCACATATATTGATCAATCACAACAAATACTTCGTACAATTTGTCATGGTTATCGGTCGTAATACAAGACAATTATTAAAATATGAAATTCAATGTTTGGCATTTTAAAACCAAGCACAGCCAAACCTGCATGCTTTGTGACATCACGACACATCCACTCCGATGCTGTAAGGCAGTGACAAATATCGCCGTGACAGAGGACCCTAAGGACCAGTATCTTAAAACACGCATAATCTTACAAATTTCAAAAACCATGCCTTACCTTCAACCACCATTTTCCTGTAGAAAGCCTCTATAACAAAGATAACATTTATGTCAATCATCTGATAGTTCGTGAAAAATATTGTAAAATACTGAAACAAAACTACAAACATGTAGTACGACGTTATAGTATAACTTATCTAAATTTCGTTTTGGTATTTTCTGCAGTGGAACGCATACTGTACCGTCGTATTACAGATTACATTTACATTCCCAAACTGTAGTATTTGCTCATGCACCAGAAACAAGAGATTTGTACTAAGGCCGTTCATTCACCTAAGCGACACTAATGTATAGTATTGGAGAATTTATCAGTTATATACATAGTTATGAAAACTAGACATTAAATGAATTCATTAACACCCCAGTACTATACATTGTATTCATACTTTGTCCATCGCGTCGCTTAGACGAGAAAACTGTCTAAATGTGAAAAATGTGATATACTGCATTTTGGAAATGCCAATATTGAATCATGGTATAATACATGATCGAGTAATCACACTCTCCGCAACAAAATTTAGGACACTTTCAATCGCCTGGAAAAAATAAAATTTCCAAGCTTTGCAATTTTATGAAAAATAACTATACAACGATTTGCTTTCTTTTTTCATTTTTTAAATCGCTGTGTGAATATTTTTCACGATATTACAAGACTTCGAAATTTTATGTTTTCCAGGCTATTTAAAGAATTTCTTTAATTTTGTTACAGAGTGTATTTGAAGAGCATCATGGATGCATTCATGAACAGAAGACAAGATCAAGACATGACGCATTAGTCGTCAATGATGCTATAAAAACGGTGCACGTGTCAGGCCATGCTAAAAACTTTACTTAACTTACAAACAAATGCAACATACTTACACTAACGTTAATAGACTTGCTATTTAGCCGTGTTTGGGCAACATCTAAAGTTTCCGAACGATAACTAAACGCACAGCTCAGCATGCCTGCCATCTGAATGTCCGACTGATTTGCATAATGTTGTATTCTAAACGACAAAGCTTTTTATTAAAAACTCATTTTAATCAGGTCAAGTATTATATAAGGTTATCCGAAGATAAATGAATTTTAATCATTTCATACAAGCAAGGTATTACTTCAATTATTACTGGACTTATGACTTACAACGAATGGATTAAATTTTGACCGAAAGGATGTAATGGCCACGGGGCATCAATATCAGGGGATTGGCAAGTATTTTGCCCAACATTGGAAACCGGTTGTGATATCACAAGAGCGGCCAAGCACCATGCCTGAACTAGATCAGGACGTTCCAACTGTGCAGCAACGTTTGCATTATATTGGCACATTGCTGGAATATCAGTGATGTTGATGCTGAAGATCAAACAAATAAGGTTAGTTCTACACCGATATCGGTGAACAAACTGATGTTGTCGAATTATCCGTTGTACTTACACGTATTTCTCAGCAAGCTCTTTATTGACGAAAAATAAAGAAGATGCATCGTACGTAATTACCATAAAATGATAATTTTTAAAACACGATCTGTGAGACATTCTGTTGGTATTGTGCAATCCGCGATTCATTTTCTGTTAAAGCCAGAGTGGTTAGCTCGTAGATAATTATTAACAATATTGATAGATACTGTGTATTATAACTACTGCGAGAAGATGTTCGCTTACACGATCTTGAAAGTAAAAGGAACTAATTGAAATGTTATCGTTCGATTGTACATAGGAATTTGGATACATGTGCATAAAATGTTCTCCATTGCCAATTCCATTTCCCAACGCGGAGAGTGCTCTAGGTGTTGTACTCTCAGGTTTCATCGACGACTTTCTGGTGTACGAGGCACGACCAAAACATACAAGAATACCTATTGAAACACTGAATTGAGTCCTGGCACACATGTTTCGATGACACTAATTATTTACATACCCACGCAACAAAACTTTGCTCCAGATGTCCGAGGGAACGGTATATAGGCATCTTGATAATTTGTACATATGTTAGAGGAACTCAAAAAACTGGCATTGTCTTGAATGTCGTATCCTAAATGACTACTCTCACTCTCATCTTTTTTACATGTCTACAAAACAAGGAACAGAAAAGTATTAACATTTTACGATACGCGTAAATACAATCTGAGAAATAAATATTTTTTTTTACTTGCTCTAAAGTTGCAATTAATTGTCGCAGACAAGGTTCTAAACACGATCGATTCTTTTTAACGCGTTGCTGTGCAGTTTGTTTCAAAACTTTCAACAGCTTTCCCATTGTTGTATTGTCGATTGTCGTTCCAGGACAGAATTGGAATGTAGGTTGCGCGCTGTACGGATAATTTGCAGGAAAATTTACTTTCAATATTACATTATAAATTTTATTGGAAGCTGTTACGGTGCAACTACGTTCCACCGCATCCATGGTGTTAACCTAAAATGGCAAAAAGAAATTTACCTTGACGCATTACTACGTAGTGCATATATATGTACCTCGATATTTGGTATGTTCATGTTTATTAAAGAAAATTCTTGTTGTAAAGTCTTTGGTTGCGTAGGGGACGATATTTCTTTATTATTCTCAATGAATGTATCTGTTTCAGGATTTAATGTAGGTTCGTCCACTTTTGTCGTTATACAGTTCATTTTACGATCGTTCTGAGCGTCGTTAAGTTGTATTTGAACAGACTGTAGTGTTCCTGTATTAATAATAAATGTATTAATATAACGAGATCAAAAGACTGCTTATACTTTTCCGCAGAAAGTATGTACTTAGATTATTATCCTCGGAATATTGTGTGTAAATAGATGTACCGTCGTCTATGCCATATCCACACAACTAGAAAAGCATTACACATTTTATTTTTATACAAATAAGAAACGTAGCTTACTATATAGTATAAAAATATATATACCTTCTTTAGAAAAGGATCAATTTTATAGATTCTTAAACACTGATCTTTTGACCAAGTAATCAATTCATAGTCGCTATTCTCTGTAAATAATGAATATATTTCGTAATTTCATCTATTTCGTATGAAACTTTAATTAGACGCGAGGTACCTGATTTTTTGTGCCTCCATTGGAACTCGAGAACAACATCAGTGTGTCCTACAAAGGTGTATATAGGCGCACTAAGATTTGTCGTATTCCATAGTAATAAACTATTTTCGCCTCGACGTAATTGAGGTACCACTATTGTTACCAATCCTTCTCCAAACGGCTGTGAATGATTCAGGTCATTTTACACACAAAAACAAATCCTAATTTCATTAAATATAATATTATGTTCACCGTATATCTAGCTCTCCAAACTGGTGAATTTGTCGTCACGATACTTTCAGCTCTACGCGGGCAACTAATATCGAAAATTTTTACTGTACAATCTTGACTAGAAGTCGCTAGTTGATTTTGTTGGAATGGGCACCAATCTAAGCCATGTATCTAAAATAACGATAGTATTTATAAGTTTCTCATAAAACGTATAAATAACTATTAAAGTAACTAACTAGTGAAATTATTTTCCAAAATCAAATAGGAACATGTACTTTTGTTAAATGAGCAGCTATGTACTGCACAGGGCTATTTCCTTTTCTTTGATCCCATATTTTAATGTCACCATCATGTGCTGTGGCTAGCATGTTGGAAGATAAACTATTCCATCGTACTTGAGAAGAACCAGCTATAAATTCAATTATGCATACACTTAACAAATTGATAAACTTATATCTCATAGAGAAAGCTGAACTCACCAACTGCAGACAGAGATAAAGTAGGCTTTCTTTGATCTCTTATGTCCCAAATATGTATAAATGTATCAATACTACAAGAAGCAATGATATCTGGTTCTTTGGGATGCCAATTTAAGTCACTCACTACTCGTGTATGTGCTTTAAGACTGTTTGTTGTTTGTAATTCATAGCTTCCACCTCCAGTGAGAGATAATATTTCAATACGTGTATTGCTCTAGGATTAAAAATTAATTACATATATACAAAATATAATACAAACAAATATCATTCAATGACTGACCGATACAGCACATAAATGAGAATTCAAACTGGTGGGATTCCATTCTGTAGAGCCAATTTCGTATTTGCTTTGTCGTTGGAACTTCTTTAAAGTATCAGCACCTTCATCCAGATGCTTCACTGCAAAACATCTACGTCTAAGGGTGAAATAAACATATTAAACGGTTACAGCTTATTTAAGTGTACATGAGAAGGACAATGTTGATATTTTCGTTAAGCAAAAGTACAGAATGTTTATTTAGAAATCAGCATCAGAATGCTCAAAACAGAAAATGCATAAACTGAAAAAAAAGAAGCGTTATAGTAAACAGAGTGTTCATCGATACTTGCCCGGCAAGTAATACGTAGTTGCCAGTCGAATCCACGGCCATGCTATTAGCCTGAAAGTGATAAAAACAATTTAACAATCAAAAATATTCGAGTGTTACAAAGTCTGAAATTAAAGTGTATGTTTTTTCGTGATATTTAACGTACGAACGTAGTCTTGTGTCACGAGACAACGTACCTGTAAATCACGGTGTTCCGTAACCACATAGTCGCTGCCCCAACGTTTTGACATTTTACCAATAAATTTGAATTTCTGTCACCATCCTGCAAGGTTAGAATCAAAACAGGGGAGCCAAGCGCTAATGCGGGGAAGTGGAACCACATTTTTAGTTGGAGACATAAATCCACGCGGCGTTAGTAGGCATCACACACACATATCGACATATCTAGCTTATCGGTGAGTACCACCAACACTGATATAAAAGTAAACACTGTACTGACTCTCTTCTGTGGTTTACAAATTTTTTACACGAAACATCAAGAAAATTGAAATACGCAAGAGGAATATCTTAGAACAGAAAGGGAATTCAATATAAAGCTACTCAATCACGTATTTCAAATTTCAATCTCCAATTACTCGCAGTCTGAACTTATACATAGATTGTAGTGTCATAAAACAAAGCTTTCCCATTATATCTTACTATATACAGGGTGTCCTAAAAGTCGGGGAGAAGCCGGAAATGGGGGGTAGCTGAGACGATTCTGAACAACAATTTCCTTTGCAAAAATGTCTGATGAGGCTTCGTTAAGGAGATATTAAGCGAAAACCCTGACCAATCAGAGCGCGCGGATACCGTTGGAGCGGCCGCGGTAGCGAAGGCTACGCGCTGAGCGGCCGCGTCAATATCCTTCGATGCACGTCGAGTCACTTGTTCGCGTACGAGAGCGGCTACCTAGCGCGTAGCCATCGCTATCGCGGCCGCTCCAACGGCATACGCGCGCTCTGATTGGTCAGTGTTTTCCGTTAATATCTCCTCAACGAAGCCTCGGACAACAATGTCGCTAAGGAAAAAGTTGTTTCAAATCACCCTCTGAACCACCCTTTTCAAGGACCTCCAACATTTTTGGGACACCCTGTATATAAATTGCCTTGCATATAAAAATCTAAATTTATACACAAGTAAAAATGCAACATATGCGGTATGTGCATGCGTTTGTGATTCCTAGGAAGTAATTTAAAAGCGAAATAATTCCTTTTTAGTCTTTTAGAAATTCGTGGATGCGACGATTCATGACGAAAATAATCCTCAAATGCTTCCAGAAAATCGATCCAAGACTAGTCAAAATATCGTAATGAAGTTAGAGGGAAAAAAGGATAAACGTACGGCGCAGAGTCTCTATTGGGCAAGCTTTCCGATACATTATCTCGGTAAACTGTGGGGCCTGATTCCAGTCAGATTCGTCACAAACGCTGCACCAGGAAGATGCCAGGCTCGCTTAAGCACCATTGACCTTATCTACAGGTAACGGAGAGCGACAAGATTAAATCTTCGATAGATATGAACGCAACAAAATTAAAAAAGCATTCTAATGTAAAATTAAGTAAAAAAAAAGTATGTAAAATTATAATTTATTAACTTATTTTTTTTTATAAACAATGACATTCTACATATTCTCGGAAATGTCTAGAATAGATAGATTACAAAAAAAAAAATACCTATTTATGTAAGTTGCAACATGAACAAGAAAAAAACAATTAATCTATAGAAATGTTGAAGCAATAAGTATTCGCACAACTGTTTAATGTTTAAAACTTCGTTAAAAAAAAAAAGAAAAGAAATTTACATTAATTTACACTTTTGATTTTATAATTATTGCAACTCTTCTAAGCGTTAAATTAACTATAGATAACTAAATTATTAATTATTCGAAGTGGGATCTTCCTTTATTAGAGCCATTTTTAAAAGTACTTGAAATTCTGGAAATTTAATGTTTTCTAATTCGTACGGAGCAATAAACTAATGTGTTTACGTTGCAAACTCTACTGTAAATGGTTACAAATACTTATTGGTACAAATACTTATCGCTTCTATACTTTTACCCACTTTTCGCACTTTATTGTTAATATCACAAATTATATTAACTAGTAAATGTTGTTTGAACTATATCTATCTTAGAGACTTCCGAGAATATGTAAAATATCATTGGTTATAAAAAAAAGAAGTTAAGAAACTACAATTTCACACAAAAGCTTTTTGCGAAATTGATCGGTGTACGAATACATTTTACACCCACTGTATATGCATGCAAGCGCACAGAAGATCTCCCCGATCGGTTGACAATGTGTTAACATATCGATCATGTCTGTAGCTTGTGCGTGCTACTATTGCTCCTCGGTTTGCAAATTTGCGGGCTTTGGCGAGATCTTAAGAACGGATGGCAGCACAGCACCAGATTGAGGTCCCGGCAAACGGTGATCGCGACGTGCAGTGACGTTCTTGGAGTGATGAGTCTAACCGTGGTCTGCATCGTTGGCTCGCCTTTTCGCTGGAGATACCTGCAAGCCGTCATAAACAAGTTAATCGAGGTGCACCGATAACGATTCTCTTCGAACTCCCTTATCATTATGTTAAGAGCCAACCCGCATCAAACCAGACATATCTTGGAATAACAATTCGAATTTCTTTGAGATATATCTTGAAAAATTGTACAATATTTCGAACATTATTGATCCTACAGCTATTTGAAAAATGGTACTTACTTTCGTTAGTAATCATAGCACAGACGTACAAATTAAACGATACTACCCCTCAGAAGTATTTACATACAAAATTGCATGAATTGTTCTTACTAGAAAACAAGTGATTGACTCAAGAAACAAGAACAAATAAAACTAGTTCATTAAACGATCGGCAATGTTGGATTTTAGGTGGACGAAAAAGTTGATGAGTCGTCGACGAAGAAGTCCCGGAGGTTCACGATCTATTTAACGGTGTGCAGTCTTACGTATCTGTGGTTCAACTCGATTCTTGATTTTTATTCCTGGCATCGCAAAACGAAAGGGATGACAGACCTCAAAACGATACCGGACAAAGGTCCAATTAACTATATGCCCCTCTATCTTATGTACACCGTGATCATTTTAACGGAGATTCAATATACCGTTTCGACGTACAACGTGGAGCTGAGATTTATCAGCCTGAACAACAGCATCAAGAAGCTATTCGAAGGCGGAAGCGCAGCCGATTACTTAAAAAAATGTGTTCTTGAAACAACAGGTAAATAGGAGCCTAACTTATTAACTCTTTAACCCAGGAGCTAAAGATAGCTGTTACAATTCTTTAGTCTCACTTTTTAGACCCGATTAACCCCTTGAGGCACAAAATGATAAATTTCATCATAAAATTTGTGTAAATATATTTGATATTCGTATTATTCTATCGGAAAGAATAATACCACTTGACTCGGCATAGGTTTCAAATATTTCTCGTTCAAAAATTGTGTAAAGTTTCATTAATCCTGGAAAGATGGTACATTTGTTTGATAATCTCGAGCAATGAAACATATCAATTATTATTTAATAAAAGGTGTTTCAACCGTCAGGTAGTACGGTCCTCTTAGGGTGAAAATAATGTTAAAGTTACGCGTAATACTAATATCGAATTGAATATATTTCATGCATCGTGTATGTACAATAAAAAGAAAAAATGTTACATAAAATAATTATTAATGAAAATTAGGATAAAACTTATGTTTATGGAGATTAATATTAATTAAATTAACCGACAAGTACGGGAATCCAAATGTAAGAAGAGAAATAAAAATACGTTCATCGCAAATAAAATATGTATAATACGAAAGACACGTGGAACGCAGGTTGTAAACAGTAAGCCAGTAGACAATCAAATAAAAGATAAGAAGCAACATTAACCTATAAACAAAGTCAGTCTTGAATAAAGAAAACCTCCACCGGTCATTATTATAATCCGTGCTCGCCAATAACGGATGCTAAAAGTCGTTTTTCAATAATTACCGAAAAATTTATTTTTATTGCTCGAAATTACCAAACAATTGGCTATCAAAGCGTTCCTACAACCATTACTCCCTTAATTTCAATTTAATACTTTGCCAATTATTTTCTATTTTTACTACAATTCGAAAAGATAAATAACGTATAATTTAATCAATTCTATTCGCCACAATCGCGTCAAGGGGTTAACGTTCGCGTATTGTATCGATCAAATTAACGACAAACGCATCTCTTTGGCCAATCATATGCCGGTTATGCAACGGTAGCAATAGTTGGTGATACTCGCAAACAATCATCAAGCACCGTGTCGCGCAGACAGTTCGAATTGGCCAGCTATCGAAACTTTCGGAATTTAAACGGTGGGTAAGTCTACTCCAGCTAAATTCGGATGGTACTTCTTGTCAAATCTCATGTATCGCCTATTTACAGAGAATGAAACTTACGTAAACAGTATATCGGAGCTGATCACGGTACATTCGTCTCTCTGCGACGCAGTTTCTCTTATAAACAGTGCGTACGGCGTTGTGATACTGGCCGTTACCGTAACGTGTCTGTTACACCTAGTCATCACGCCATATTTCTTGATCTTACAAGTAGACGAAAACCACGAATGGATATATCTGTTGGTACAATGTATGTGGTGTATCTTTCACGTAACCAGAATGCTGATAATCGTTCAACCTAGCTATTCCACAGTTGCAGAGGTAAGGAGGTAAAAATGTTAGAACCTTAAACATGAATCTGTGTACATGTACGATAGGAAGCTCTAGAAGTAATGAATTCGAGTTGTCACGGAAACGTTCGTTCCAGGGTAAGAAAACGGCGGTTCTCGTTAGTCGGTTACTTTCCTCCAGCTTCGAAGTGGACAGTCGACAACAGTTGGAAATATTTTCTCTTCAATTACTGCATCGACCTCTTGAATTTTCAGCATGCGGACTCTTCTCTTTGGACCGAACACTGATAACGTCGGTAAGGATGTAGAAGGTATTCGTGCGCAGAAAAATGCATATGCTGACGTGTGTTTCAGATCGCGGGGGTGGTGACAACATATCTCGTCATACTAATACAGTTCAAAAACGCGGACGATACGATGGGTGAAGTGGATAGAATAAGAAATGCGACACAAATACTCAAGTCTGCATCGTCGCTCCAGAATTTAACAGGATTTAAGTCCATCATATAACTGTAAACTTATTTCCGGGAAACTTTTCTCACGTTTCCATATTATAGACTTTGTCTGTGTATGTGTGTGTGTGCTCGTGTGTTTGAAACGAGTAAGTAACAGACAGATAATAGTCGATCACATACGATAATGACATTTAATATTCCAATTCTCGTAAACAGCGGCAATATACAAATACAGGTTACTCGTATCGTATTCCAACTACTAATTAACGAGTCATCCCATCGTTCGATCGATAATTAATTAAGATCGCACCTCGTACGGTGTCTAAAAACTAGACGTCAGTCACAGCCTATCCAAAACGTTCCTCGGCCTCGATCTCGCTGTATCTCACGAGGATAAGAAGATTTCCTAAAAACGGGGAAACTTGAGTAGTCTCGTTCGAAGAAGCCAGGTGTCTCGTTGGATCAAATTACTCCTAACGTATATACAACACCTCGTATACTGACTCGTTTTCTCTCTGACGCTATACACTTCTTCGTACAAATTATTACACTAGCAATAAATATTAAATCGCTCGAAGATCTTGTACCAACACTTGTACCATATCAATTTACGACATAAATTCACGCGTGTGAATTCAACACCCGGTTACTCGCGCGCTTTGAAACCACACGTGACAAGAATACTCTTCAAACTCGCGCATCGTCCCGGCAAAAGCCAAATCGAAACCCAAATGCTGCGTTGTTGGTTGTTCCATATCGTGATTTTTCACGTGGTTTCAATTCGCCGTGGCTGCTGTGACCGGCGGTTGTGATTTCTGATGCGCGATCTGCATCAAATTGTCGCAACAGCTGTCCTTCGTCACGTTTAAACGTTTCGGTCTTTGACAAGTCATCAGGTTTTCAGAATTCGACGTTATTTCAGAGTCGTTCTCCCCTTTGTTTTGATGACGAGCGTTGCACTGACAGGGACTCGTGTGTCGATGAATCCGTGAGAAACAGTCGCTGCAAACTCTGACGGGATTGTACAGTTGCTCGCTGGGTAACGGTGTCGAATTTTCCGAACAATCAGCACAGAAAATCTTACCACAGCATCTACAATAGAGGCGAAAATGATAATATACCGACCGCATACAGTATTATAAGGGCCAGAGAAGTAACAATTTTCCGTACAATAATTTATACAATGTTTGACCTGTTACACATTAAATAGAAATTAGGATTTCAATTACAAAATTAAATATTTCACATTAAACAAATAAAAATAAAAATATTCAACCTAATAAACGTTGTGAACAAATCGCTATAAGTGGATTTGAATCATTATTATTTAAACCAAATTATGCCTACTTCTGGACAGTAGTATGATGCAGCCGGGCAACTAATGTTGCACTTCCTTGTACAACTTATTATAAAATAAATCGTTACGACTATGGCTCCTAGATTATAATTCTGCATGTTAATACTATGAAACTAAATCCAACAGCATGCGCGGTAGACATTCGATTTCACCTGCAATGATGTTTGCGTCTTCCGAGCCAGAACTCCGTGTCGCAGCCCATGCATCGATTCACCGCGTGGTCAGGTACCCAAAGAGTAGGAGCAGGACCTAATTCTTCGACGGCTTCCCAAGACATGTCCGATGGTAACGACTCTCCGTGATCGCCGGCGCTTCCCACCGAATCGGGTAACGATCCCTGGAACAGGAGCAATACCTTCCTTTTTCTCTGGCTATCTCCGATTATTCTTTAACAAGCCGAATCAAGATTAATCTCCTCCTGAGAAACATTCAATAACGTCGTTTGGAACACTCACAATATCGTCGATGCGATCGGTATCCGCGTTATGATTGCAAACTTGCTTGATTAGAGCCAGCCTCGTCGTATGTAACTCCTTCCTTAACGCTTCTTCTTTTAGCTGAAAAGCAGCAAGACAAAAAACACCGTAACCGCTCGCAGACTCGTGACTTTCTTCGACGAACGTTCTTTTGCTTTTTCTCTTGTTTTCGTTTTATCTTAAACAGGACGAAATGTATGCACACACCTTATGCTCCACGATTATCTGTTGAACGCGCATCTGAACATCGCAATGTACAACGGGAAGACCATCGACGTCGTCCAGTCTGTCAAGATTCTCTGGCAGCGTGTCTTGACGGGTGGGAGACGCCGGACAAACGCTACTGGGTGTTCTCGATATCAACGGCGCGTTGGTATCGCTAACGTCGCTGCCATCGTTGAGGTTGTGATTGTAGTTTCGATTACAAGAGCAGACGGCTCGGCCGTTCGCGTTAGTCTCGATCCACGGCGAAACGATGTCCTGCGGCGAGTTTTTCTGCGACCTGTTACTCGACAAAAACTTTTTGTTGTTCGAATCGAATACAACTTCGAATCAGCTTTGAATTCGGATTCATTTCATATTTAACCTTGAACTCGGACTCGCGTAACGTAAGAGAGTATACAGAGTTTTCAAATTCGGTACTGTTTTACGGTATATGATACTTACGTTTCGTTATTGATGCTTGTTGTACCAAGTAAGGAATCATTGCTGGGTATTAGTGTGTCTGTCGAACTGTCTACCGAGGGATTCGCTGGCGAGTCATTCGAGAATTTACTCGTCGTGTTACATTGTTTCGATACGTCCTCGTTCTCTGGCATGTTCTTTTCCTCGTTTTCAGTCTTACATTCTGTGTCGTCGTTTGCAACATTTTCCACCGTCTCCGCATCGAGCGTTAGGGAATCGAACTTCCTGTGACGGTGTTACAAGCAACGTGATTACTCTGTTTTCTTGTCTTATTGACTTGATTATAGCTCTGTTAAGATATATGAAAAATAACAAAGGTAATTACGTTTCCACCGTAATAGTTGGATCGCTAAGTCTACGGTGAAGATAGGCCGAGTGATTGGAAGTATGCATAAGATCCCCGTATGATCGAGTTTTAGTCATTTGCCTCTGTGGTTCGTCGCTCTCACCACCCTCGATGTCTATCATCGTCACTCTCTGTTTATCATCCCTGATATCAAGAGAAGATTCGGTAGATCCTAAATACACCTCAGACCACAAGACAAGATCTCGAACATTGCAACTTGGCCATAATACCTGGTAACAAGAAATCATCAAATTCACATTAGAACCTCAACTGAAAAAAAATAATACTATTATACTAGATGAAAAATGTCCTACTTGATTCTTTAAAGGTGAATACAAATGATTTACGAATGAACTGGAATTCAGGAATCGCCAAACTGAAAATGTACGCTCCCGTATTCGCAATTGTAACCTTTCTTGCCTTCTGTTGCAAAGGAACGTGCCGAAAAGCTGCGAATACGTATGCTGTGCTAATTTTACCTGAAATTAATCGAGTCTGTGTTAATCGGTGTTAACGAAACGGAATCGGCACGTATTTCAAACATTTGTGTACGTACGGGTAAAAGAATAAAAGTAGTAAACATGAACTACGTCAATATACTCACGAGATACGCCGGAGACATCTGAAAACTACACTTAAATTTTAGGATTAACTGGTGTACACAGTCGAGCCACTGCAAAAATACCGGACATCGTTCATTCGGATCTTCACAGCCAACTGTTTGTCCGCAACGATCCGCGAATTTATGTCCAAAGTCTAACCATTCTCTCTCGCATAAGATTTGGAAACCCTAACGACGATAAAACAGAGTAAAGAAATGACTGTCCAGTAACGAACAAAAAGAGAAAGTGGGAGTACCTTCGGCATACCTCCATAGTTCGGTAATACGGATCAAGGAGGATCTGCGCTAAAGTGACTATCTGAGGCGTTCTATCCCAGCCATCGCTACAATGTACCAAAACCGGTCGACCATCCCTTTCTATCGCGGATGCTACAGTCACCGCTGCACGTAATAATCCAGACATGTGTTGTAACCACCGCGTTCCTTCTAAAAGACTGAGCCAGCTGCAAAACGAAAGAAAATTATTCATCAGAAATACACCTCCATAAAGCTCATCAAATAAATATACTCAATTCTCTTTTTACATGGTTACGATTTCACACGGTCCAGGAAAAGGAGTCTATAAATATTTAATATGTTTTCTTAATACATTAGGGAGGTCGATAATTAAATCTTGAAATTCTGGTCAAGTCATTCTCCGAAATCTTTTCCGCCAATATGAAGATTGCGTATAATCTGACCTCTAAGCGTTACATCGATACTCGCTGTATGTTCCCTTGAAAAGAAACTACTGTGACAAATTGGCTGCACGATTCAATTTATCGATTACTCGATTTACCGAAACTTTTTTTTCCGATTCCTGAACATTATACTACAAATCCTCTATTTTGGCATAAGCAATATTACTTTTTTATTTACACTGCTTTTTTACACAGTGCTCTTTGAAACATATATACTGTGTAAAAAGAGAATTGAATGTATGATCTACATGAAGTGTATAACGAAACGAAATATTCGTTTACTTGGGTTGATCCATGTCCGACGCGCAAAGCTGCCTCAACGCGTGAAAGCTCTTCCGTATAGAATGAATGTTTGGTAAATTCATGAATTGTATATCGCAACTGGGATAATATTCAGGACATTCGCAACCACCACCGCGCGCTCTATTCGCCACAGCGGTTGTGTACGACCTGGCGTCCACGATCAAGACTTTCTGCAAGTAATGCATTACAATTCAAAAGAACATCGAACGTTTTAAATTCGTTCGTAATTCCTTTTCATCGATTTCTAATGAATACCGAGTCTCTTCTAAACTACAGTCAAATAATAACTTGGTTAAATACTTGATACCCACTTTGGTATTATTTGTTGTGGTACCATCGACACCAGCATTGGGATAAATACTGGGAGAATCCACCATCGTCAATTCACCTTTGTCATAGGAACATGAATGTGAAAGGGCCTTCAAGAGGGCCTCATCTTCTGGACTTCGCCAGCCAAGCCAACCAACTTCTGGTTGACTACTTCGAGCTAAAACTGCACCATTATTCACATGTCTACAAAATAAAAGTATTGACATTGAAGGAAACATAATTATTTTAGAAGAATATGAAAGTTATTTTCTTATAATACCTCCAAACAACAGCAGGAATTCGACGAGAACTACGAAACTTGGCCGCCTTGTCCAGAATAACATCGGAAATGCAAGCAGGAACCAGAAGCAGTGGTGGATATGATGGACACATTCGATAATCTTTATTAATTTGACTAATACGCCATGTACCATGCAAATTAAATTTCAGTCGTTCCACCTACGAAGTAACACAAAGGTAATTATATCTGTCGAAATTGCAATATAATGTATGAGTTACTTACCTCTGAGTTAAAAGTAGCGGTATAGGAAGTAGTATCCTTTCCAAGTTTAGAAAAATCTTTGCCCTCCTCAATGGACCAAGCATAGTATGCAAAAGCAAATATATCTTCTATGCTCTTAGGTGGATAAGTCACTTTATGTAGTCGCTTATACCACTCTAAACAGTGTTCATTCGTGGAAAAGGCACAGCTGAAACATTGAAATAGTAATAGTTTAATATCACAAGAAAATTTATAGAAGAAAGTATTGTTTATTTAAGCAGAATAATTAGGGAATAATGTACCTTAGGGAACGTGCATCCTTACAACCAATATGTAAGAAGAAGATCTCTTTAACCTCCAGCTGTTCTATTAAACCCAGTGGAATATTGTAGCATGTTTGACTCAATTGTAAGTAAAGTCTGTAATTAGAAAGAGCCAACACCCCATCTGATGTACGTCCAAGTGCTACAATGGATTCTCCACTCAAAGGCGTAAATGGTATTGTAAGTGTTTCATCTTCACATTCAAGATGTGTATGCTTTGGAAACAATTCCGAAACATGTAAATGACACATAGATTGCAAACTTGTTGGCTCTTCGGAACTCTCCATCTCTGCTCTGTGACATATCATTTAGAAACTTCATTATTCTTTTTGATTGTAAGAAACTTCATTATTCTTTTTGATTGTAAGAAACTTAATTTGTAAGTTTATGGCTAGATTACTCAAATTTCTCAAATTAGATTGCATGCTTTTACTAGTCTGTGTACATCAAAGTACATATTATATATCATTGCAAATTTACAAATAAATACTGCAACATATTGGCATACATTAAGTATTATGTTGAAAATGTTTTCAGTACTATCCTTTCACACAATTGAAGTAGATAAGTAACTAATAGTTGGCAAGAATCATCTTACTATGAGAAGTATTATTAAATGGTTAATAACAAAAACTATTATAGGATTCTGTATGGCATGATTACATACCCAAGCGATTAAAAAGTTAAAAAAAGGATTCAATTTTCAAAAGAATGGAAGTAATCAACTTTAATCAATGAAAAAGTTTTAGTTTAGAGAAAGTCAACCACCAACTTATTTTTAAACATAAAAGATGATATAATGTTTTATAGATACATGAGCATTGTTTATCTCAAAATTTTTTTAAGTAATTCCCCTTACAAAAATCTTTATATCTAATATAACAACAACACAAAACAAATTACTTGCATTGTTACACAATGTCATACTTTTATTATTGCACACATACTACCAATTGCAGTGCAATCTCCAAATACAAATCTCATTTAATATGTTTGGTTACAATAGAGGAAAAGATTGAGAAAACATTGCATTACAAATAAAACTTAAAGGAATTGTTTACAAAGGGATAAATAAGATGATGACTCTGAAATGATAAGAAACAAGTCTATTCCAGGCCAAACATAATAAAAGATGATCCAAAGAAAACTTGATTTCCAACTAAATATTAGTTGGTACTACTTTTTGAGCTTACGTAAATGTAAAAAACTGATCGTGCCAATACTTGTGATCAATTTGAAAGTAGTCATAACACATACTTGTATTATTATTTTGTTGTCGAATATGCAAAAATATATTTTTTTCTTTTCATTATGCTTGAATACAAGATAATAAAGTTACATTGCGGTGAAAATCAAATACGTAGGTACGTAGATTTTTTTCACGTCTATAACTGGTTTTATTCCAAGAGTCGTTCTGTGCCAATACTTATGTTCGACATGGTACTTATCCGCAACCACACGCGGCACTACTAATTCTACGTGTGATTCGATTACAGACGATTGTCGGACTAAACGAAATTATACGCAACGTCAAGAACAACAGAAACGTTAAAATGCACAAGCAAAACATTTCCGAACAGGGCAATCGCGAACCCAGTAATCATTTCTGGTAAACGATTATAGCCAAGCGAGCGACAATGTCTTACCTTGGACTGCAAAATTTCTCCTCGATGGGCGATATCCGATGACCGTTCTGATACCTCATACAAAATCCATAGACAGTCGTTTACACAAGAAACGGTATAAGGACATTACTCGACAAAGAGGCCATCCATTACCCCCCGTAAAGAAAACAAAGCGATGCCGTTGATTTCGATTTTGTCGAGTTATGTAGATGTTTTAGATTCTTCAGCACGTACGCAGATAGCTTACTGGATGAATGACTCCATAACTAATCTCACGCGAGTCCAATTCAAACACGATTACTTTTCGTTACGATGGTTCACGAAAATGGCTAGCATCGCGGCACACAACATCCACCAAATGAAACGATTCCTTTTCTCCCTGTTCGTCTCGCGAAACGGTAATATAGCAAATTACTTGATTTCCAAATAATTTTTATAAAAGATAATCCTTCAGTCTGATGTGAAAGTTACACTTGACAGATTGCTTGTGCTTGGAACTGGATGGTCGGTTGGTTTTGGGTTTTGGCCTCAGTAACGTCAAGGAATTCCCTATGAAAGCAACTAGAACACTTCTTGGAACTGGACTTCTGTCCGTATCTGTAACTATTGCATACTGTGATAAACATGAGCGACGTCAGCGACACTGGCGAGAAATTCCTAACGAAAAATACGCGATCTTTATTTAGCTGTATTTAATCCAGACCAATCTTCTTGCAGCTATATAACTGTGTGGAAAGTAACAGTTTTACCAAGTATTTGTTCCGATAAATTACGAAAAATACAGAATGGCATTTACAAACACAATTTTCTCATAAATTTATAGTTAGGTTCCATCAAAAAAGAGTTACGCAATTTCTTCGATAAAGCCGCATTCGAATGCCGTTCGTATCACCTACATCCCAGGGAGTCCAAGCCATAAACGTATTCGTATAAAGAGTCTCAATACGAGTAAGTCAAAGTATGGAGCGCCACGTACCAATAACAAAGGAATTAAAAGGAAGAAGCACATACGCGTATATCTTTATATACAGGGTGGGGTCAATACCTATGTTCATTTTGAATATTGCCGTTACTTGTAATATACAAAACTAACACGGTATAGAGGGGGACATATTTTGACACAAACATTTTCTGCGTGGGTGAAGGCATAAAGGAGATATGAAGATCATCTCTGCTTTTTTTAAATGGAACGATATGTTTTTGCTTTCGTATCATGATAGAGGATCTTAAAACGAGTTCAACGACCTATTACATAAGGTCATTGAAGGTCATAGAAAGTAGAGAAATGCGATAATACTTACGGTTTTGATAGACCAAAAGGAGCCATGAGGTGATTTCACCTCGAGGTCAATTTTAAGAGTCATTCCAAGGTAAACTCGATCTTTTCGAATGGTCACCTCTATTCACGACACCGGATTCGGAAAGAGGTGGATTACTTGCGTTAATCAAGCACCTCGAATCCGTAAATGGCAAGGGGACTCACGTTAATCAAGTACCACAGGGGGGACAGATTCTCGCGTCCTCGTTGGTTATCCCTGGATAAAACAAAGAGTACCTACCCCTCAAAAGTCAAGCTATTCGAACGTCAAGTTCTCACCTCTTCCCGAATTTGTTGTCGCGAATGGGGATGTTCATCCGAAAAAATCGACTACACCACAATTTTATGAAAAACAATATTAAAATTTTGTAATTTCAGCATTAATCCTTATGGAACATGTAGATTTTGCCAGCAAATTTTGGCAAATTTTGCAAATTTTGTCGATTAATTTTTCAATCAAGATGTAGAGATGTAGAACGTAAAGAAGTTGTATAGTAACAATCAACATTGTGATCATAATAATTTCCCAAGTATTACGAATGTATGTATAGATATACGTATTGGTCATTATGGACATGTGTGAGTGCAGTAAGACTGTATTTTACAAAAGCTTCCAATTTCTTTTTTTTTTTATTTTGAAATTTTTAAATGTCAAAGCAGAGATTTATTCGCTTTACATGTTGTTGACAATGTATATGTAGAACTAAATTTTGTTAATATATCTGAAATTATACATTAATATTACAGTTCTTCAAACAAGACATAACACAAATACATGCCGCAACGTTCGATTTAGTAATCAAAACAGACATATTGATGGGCAAATATAATTTAAGTTTATAGAGTTGCTGTAACAATTTGAATCTTTGCTTTTCAAAGAGTGGACACTGCCAAACAATGTGATCGAAAAGCTTTAAATTATACTTTTGAATGTGACTATCTCGAAATGTTTAAAGTAGCCGCTGCTGTACATATAGATACGTGCGCATATGCTCCTTCCTTTTAGTTCCTTCACACTTGGTACGTGGCGTCCCAAACTTTGTCTCAAATATGGACGAAATTCTTTCGTCCATTATCTTAACCCATGCTATATGAGCTTGAACCTCCTGCTACGACTTACGTACTAGTGTCGGAATCACGAATAATTTGGTTGGCCACTAGGTTTGGTACAGAATAAATTTTTAGATATCATGGCACTTAGTACTGGCAAAGTAATTTTTAATCCTGGTAGGTATACATAGGAAATCACTGTATTTTTTTTCAAACATTCCATAATCGAATCGTTGTGGGACCACCGGATCAGTAGAAGTAATGGAAAACAAATTTTGTGTTCATGCTTGATTTCATAAACATGGTGAATTATTCGATCGAATTTAATCACATGGTGTATTAATTTATTCATTTCGTTTGAAACTCAAGATCATACTCAATTTCATAATAATGCATATACATTTTAATTGATCATATCAGAAAATGGAATACATAAGGCATTGTTTGCAATCATGTAATCTTAATATCAGAGCCTTGTATATACTTTTGAAAGTCTATACAGATGAGAAAAAGAATCCAAAATACTTGCACAATTATTGGCAGAAGAATGTTTCAATAATTTTTTTATTTTTAGTGTTGAAGCAAACTGTGAAGCAATTGTTCTATATTGAACATTTTGTTAAACACGTAAGGAGCTTTTTAATCAACATTTTCAGTAGTTATGATTTGCTGTCCATTGGTATATTTTTGACTAAATCATCGTACTCTTTTAGCAAGGAAAGTATTTAGGTGGTCAGTTATACGTCGGTTCATTTTTACCATGTGTAACAGCACAAAGATTTTATGCTGAAAAAAAAGTTTTTACAAGAGATAAACCACATTGCAACGTTGGCACAATTGGTCATGTTGATCATGGAAAAACAACATTGACCGCAGCTATCACTAAAGGTACATTTACCTCTTCTATATATTTCCTAGTTCTTCATTACATTTTTTTATCGAATGTAGTCATACAGCATAGTAACCATTCTTGTGGTTTGTAGTTTTGGAAGAAAAACAATTAGCCAAGGCAAAAGGCTATGATGAAATCGACAATGCACCAGAAGAGAAAGCACGTGGTATTACGATCAATGTAGCACACATTGAGTACCAAACAGATAACCGTCATTACGGGCATACAGATTGTCCAGGACATGCAGATTACATTAAAAATATGATCACAGGTACAGCACAAATGGATGGAGCAATTCTTGTAGTTGCTGCCACAGATGGTACTATGCCTCAAACACGGGAGCATTTAGTTCTTGCTAAGCAAATCGGTATTGAACATATTGTTGTTTTCATTAACAAGGTAAGTTTTCCCATACACAATTATAATTATTATGGATAGGTAGTTATTCCTTTTTTATTGATATACTACAGCAAGAGTTATGGAAACCTTATAAAGAAAATGGGATAAATATATATATGAATAAATAGAAGAACCTTAGTATGTTGCCTTTTGTAATTTTAACTATAATTGTTTTTTGAAAGATCGATGCAGCTGACGAGGAGATGGTAGAGTTGGTAGAAATGGAAGTTCGGGAGTTGTTTACTGAAATGGGTTATGACGGAGAGAAATTGCCTGTTGTTAAAGGCAGTGCGCTTTGTGCCTTACAAGGGGAAAAACCTGAAATTGGAAAGAATGCTATACTACAGTTATTAGAGACTGTAGATAATTTTATACCAACACCAATTAGAGACTTGGATAAACCTTTTCTATTACCCGTAGAAAGTGTTTATTCGATTCCTGGTAGAGGAACAGTAGCCACAGGAAGATTGGAACGTGGCAAAATAAAGAAGGGCATGGAGTGTGAAATAATTGGTTTCAACAAAACTTTAAAGGCAACAATAACAGGAATAGAAATGTTTCATCAAATTTTGGAAGAGGCACATGCTGGAGACCAACTGGGTGCTTTACTTAGAGGTTTGAAGAGAGAGGACATTAGAAGAGGTATGGTAATATCCAAGCCAGGTACAATGAAAGCTCATGATCACTTTGAGTGCCAAGTATATATGCTCACCCCTGCGGAAGGAGGTAGAAAGAGACCTATCCCAAATCAAATACAAAGTCAAATGTTTTGCAAAACGTGGGACGTTGCCACACAGATTAATTTAGTAGACAAAACTTTAGCCATGCCTGGTGAAGATTTCACGTAAGTCTTAAAGAGTGTTATTCGAACAAAAAGTAATGTAGTTTTCACTTAACAACAAAGTTTTTCCTTTGTAGAGCTGTAATGAAATTAATAAGGCCTATGGTTTGCGAGAAGGGACAACGATTTACATTGCGAGACGGAAATACAACCTTAGCAACCGGGGTAATCACGTCTATAAAGCAAGCGCTTTCTGAGAAAGAGCGATTGCAACTTCTCGAAGGGAAAAAGAAAGTTAAGAAACAGGCTCAAGCTTAAATTATCAATTTGTTGCATTTGTTGTGTGCGAAAGCTAATGCAGATTGTCGATAGTATTTCGATGACATAAAAAATAAATTTCAACTCCAATATCTGCTGTAGTTTAAAGGTATATGCGTATATACATTAAATAGAATCGCAGTACAAATTGAGCATTAATTTCGTATGCATATGCATTTTCCTAAAGCTGTATTACAAATTTCAGTTCTCCATCAATAATCGTCAAATGATTTTAAACATTATATAATTACTACTAAGTAATATGTTATTGTATATATGTGTTTATTCCAATACTGTTTTAGTCAGATGCAAATGGAAAGCATCCCTTATAAATACAATTTAATAAATTTCTCGTACAAAATGTATTTAGTTTATTGCTACTGGAATGATTGATTTTACATGACTACAACACAAAACCTGTGGTTTTCTTTCTCAGCTTTGTTTTGATACAAGACGACGTAATGTTACGCGCACGTGTGAACGTTTTAGAAATATTTGTAACTTTGAAAACAGTTCAAGGACGATTTATTGAATCCAATACATCACCAGTACAAGCTGCTTCGAGCAGAACAATGAAACACACGATACGTTTCACTCGTGTTTCTGCAGTTTGCTTCAATCGCTAAAAGTACCTTGGTAAATTGTGTATGTACGCTTTTCACCGTGCACTCATATATTTTCATCTGCAACACACAAGGGGGGAAAGAAAGGAAAGGACATATGTACCGCTCTAGTCACACAAACAAAATTAACATTTTTGTATATAAAAGAAAAACACTGTTTATATAATTTAAGTCGAATAAATCATACATTCACCTTCGCTTATAAAAATAGTAAACAGTCCTCATTATCGTGGACAGACGCAACTGGCTACAAACCGCGCTTCGTTACAATTGTAACATTATTTCAAAATACAACAGTGTGTCTGTATGTTGCGGATTACTCGCAAAGACGATTCGCTACACCGTTCAATCAATTAGTACATATACATGAATGCTTTTTTTTTATTTTATTTGTTCATCATCGCGTAATCGGGATGTGAAATAACAGCAAAGGTTATGTTATCGTTTGGTAAAGATTCAGTTACTCCGCGATTGTTCTTTCTTGTTGAGTGTCTGTGGGTATGTGTGAATGCGTGCGTGTGCGTAAACAGTGACTTCTAAATATCAGCACTTTATGAGTATCGAAAGATTCTTTCTTGTAGAATTATTAATCCTTTAGTTTCACAATTTACGGAATAGCATCCTCGTTAGTTCAAAAGTTTATTACATACTGCATTTTCGTATTTAGGTGTGATAAAAGCAGCGATAGAAATTAAATCACTCAAAGGAAAAAACACGTTGAATATATTGAATGCCATCGTGTCATACAACATATTTATGTGCACGCCCGCATATACATTCGTAATACATGAGTAAAAAATATGAGGCCAAGAACGACGAATATCCAACGATTGTTAGTTTCGATGCGTAAAATTTTACACATTTATGCATTGTTCAAAATTGTACGTTCATACCGGTAAGAAGTACGTTCATGCTAGGATTATCCAATACTTGTACAAAATTAGAGGTCACGTGTTTTACACGTTCACGCACACAAATCTCTAATGCACGCAAAAGCAACGATCAATTCCAGTATCCTTTTGTTAAGACAAAGCTCGTGAAACATGAAATCACAGAAACTTTTTTACCGTTATTATCGTTAGGTATCGAACAAAATTTTTTACGCGAATTTTAATTCCTTCGAAGAAAGAACCTTCGACCTATCGAGAGGCACAAGAACGTAACGTGCGTTCATGTACGCTATGCCCCCAGTTCATATCATACGCGTGGTATAACAAACTAAAGGTCTTCATCGTCTTCTGGTAACGCAGTCTCTTGAGCTTCTTTGAGATCCTTTTCTATTTGTTGTTGCCATTGTGGATCCATAGTAACCTCAGGTGGAAGAAGAGCTGGCATCGCGACGAATTCTAGATTCGGATCTCCGATTAATTTACGCGCCAACCATAAGAAAGGTTTCTCGAAATTGTAGTTACTCTTTGCACTAATATCGTAGTACTGAAAATGGGAAAGAAAGTGTCATTTGTTGTACTAATAGTACAAAGTTACATTAAATATTAGTATTAAAGTTTTAGAAACTAGCATCAGTAAATACTTGATAGAATTAAAAAAAACATGTGAAAGGAGAGCAATAATCAAATGTTTTTGAATTTGAAGTAGTTAATTACCTGTAGATTCTTCTTTCTATGGAAAACAATGCTCTTGGCTTTTACTTTCCTATCCTTAATGTCGACTTTGTTGCCACAGAGTACGATAGGTATATTTTCACAAACTCGAACCAAATCCCTATGCCAGTTAGGTACATTTTTATATGTTACTCTTGATGTAACATCGAACATAATGACAGCACATTGTCCTTGAATGTAATAGCCATCACGGAGACCTCCAAATTTCTCTTGGCCAGCTGTGTCCCATACGTTGAATCGAATTGCCCCTCGATTTGTATGAAAGATCAAGGGATGTACTTCTACTCCTAATGTTGCCACATATTTTTTCTCGAATTCTCCGGTTAAATGTCGTTTGACAAATGTCGTTTTCCCAGTACCACCATCACCCACTAGGACACACTTGAAAGTTGGCATTTCCTGTACTTCGTGTGCCATTTTGATATTGTTATTTGACGATTTATCCAAGCAAAGAAGCGGTCAATCTGAAAAAATAAGATCAGCAATCCTCGGTTAACAAATTATTATCATATTCACAGAGAATATGAATGGTTTCGAAATTAGTGAAAGATATGTCAAGGATAGGAAATCATGTGGCACCACGTTCCTTGGTAGGAACGTGGATGAAATAATTTCTTGATTCACACATAGCTGATTTTTTCAAGTTTGTATTAGACTCTTTCAAATCAAAATGATGCTCTCGATTGCACAAAACTAAAAGCACATAACTGTTTTCTATGGCTAATGTAATTTGTAAACGAAAAAGACATGTAATTGACGAAGTATGTAAAAAAGCCGCATCGAACAGTCCAAAAAGGCTACATGCGGCCTTTGCGCCACAGGCTCCGCCATCCTAGATAGTACCATATCACGCGTTGAAAACGTGATCGGCCACTCGCCAACCGAACAAAATTCGTAATAAACGAAACGAACTTCTAATCGTTAAGCAAATGCACATACCGAAACGTTAGTTGATAGTACTTTCGACGTTAGCTCGGAAAGCCGGGTGACCAATTATCACGCACTCTCAAACAGCAAGCCGACGTTGAAAGTCACCACGTTCTGCTAAGAGAATGGCGCCTCCCGTTGTAACACAGGGGACTTTCGCGCTAATCTCGAAACATAACTACACGCACTTGTAGGTGAAAATAACAAACGATCGAACAAGTTGTCGGTTAATTTGCTCGAAATTTATGGAAATCCGAGGACGTAGGTACAAAATTTCCCGGCAAGTGACGTGTACGTGAAAATGACCGATAAAACTTACCCTGCGACACAGTCGCTATGGCTCACAATGGCGTTCCTTTGTCTAGATGTGTAGGGGTCAGCTTTTTCGTTATTCGCTAAATGCAACGAGGTATGAATTAAGAAAACCGTCTAGTTGGCGTGATAGAAAAAAATTCAATTTAAATATTTGTATCGATCGATTATCAAAATAATACGTGTATCGTTGGTTTTTTTGTAAAAGTATACTCGAAACTCGCCACGATTTAGCGACATCTATTCCATGCGCGCCACATTGAGCCGGTACCGAAGAATTTTCGTTTTCAACGGAAAGAATCATGTTGTACGTAAGTACAGTAAATGGAATGGTTTGGCGCGCGAGGGCACCGTTAGGTTCCAAACTGGCGGTAAATATAAAATTCGAACATCGAGGATGTTCGATGTTCCGTTTTCTTGCAAGAATTTTTTTCGCGAGAATTCTTTTGACACGCTCAACATTGATTAATTAAACAGTAAACGTTAGGTACACGATCGAACAATTTCGGTGCATTTCATTTTGTGATACAGGTGTTATTAATATTACTATTCGAACTATACTATATAAATATTACTATTTGAATATCATTTTTTCAGTGAGTTCATTATATTATGTGTACAAGTGTCGTTTATCAGGAAGTCATGAAATCTGGTACAACGATTTCTATATCACCAAATTTTTAAAACACAATTTCATTAACCTTGGTTTGTTTCTGTTTTTTATAATTGTTTTTAATTAAATTTGATTCTTAACAAAAGCCATTTTTGGAGCTAAAAACATAGCAACTGTGAAAAAACTTTACTTACGGTTGAGAAATTTATAAAATTTAAAATATCGTTAGTAAGATATTATACATGAAACTAGAGATTAGAAAAAAAAACTGTGGACTTACAAACTTGATTTATTCAAGCGTACATCCAAATATATACGTGGGATATAAAATATTCGAATATCCGAGTATAAAGTAATCGAATAGTTAAATGTTTGTATCATATTTTAATCATTGAAACGTTCGAATATCAAGTACAGAAAAATTCGACTAGTTTCAGACCTAAAACTGTTATAGAATGAAAATATTTTGAAGATGTCGGAAAAAGCCTTTTGTTTTTTGCTGGTTATTTCTAGGAAGGGGCACGAAGAGATCTCGGGCCAGTCCTGAGCAGAGTTGACGTCACTGGCGCATGCGCGCGGCAACGGACGGCACTGCAGAAGCAGGCGAGTTCGCGAGTGTATCGATTTTACGATCGTGTCTCTCGCCGCTAGTGCGTCCGTTTCCTTTAGTTTTTAGTGGCCGTGCTCGTCGTACATGGATAAAATCGTGAATGGGATTAGTCGCTAGTTTTTCCACTTCGTACACCCGCTGACTCGCAATTCTTCGTCACCCTCGCCATGACCAAGGATAGATTAGCAGCCCTCACCGCGGTGAGTTTCAAGTGGATACGTATATTTTGCTAGAAACCAAGCCGATTCACCGAACAATCAGTCTGCCCGTTAACTCTCTCTCCCTCCCTCCGTCATCCTTTTCCTTTCTTCGTCTGCTTGTTTCTTCATCTTCCTAACTCGCGCGCTTTCTCTCTCGTGTATACGAATGTGCAACTCGCATCGTTCGTAATATCACTCTTTTTACTCTGCTTCTTGTTCTCCGACGCATCATTTTATCCTCGTTTCGAATGGCCTAAACACGCAGAGTTTACTGAAGATTTATCTGTCGGTTTAATCGACCGTCATCGCTGGTCTGTTTCCTGAGAAAGACAGTCGATGAAACCTGCGGACAAACCTCTACTCGTCCGTGTATCGGTTCGCCTTACTCTTGTAACTACTTGAAAATAGTATCCAGAACGTATTTGTTGCTCTACGATAAAAAAGATATGTCAAATGGGAGGTATCAGTTCTCTATCGTCTACGTTGAGCTCGAGTTTTCGAAATTCGAGATAAATATGTCAAGTCGCTTAACCAATGTTACATTCCAAGTTACTGTTTCCGATATCGAATTTACGATAATTCGAACGGAACATAGTTTGCCTCCAAGGCACAGAAATGTTAGAGCAAACGAAGGGAATTATTGGAAAACATTTGAAGATACTTGTCGATTATTTCACTCACGCTTGTAACGTTTAAAGAACCAATTCGTGATCACCATGTACGTGCAACTCGTTGTTACGTTTGATGTAATCGAATGAATTTTTCTTCTCGAAATGCACGGCTGTCATTGATCGAATCGAAGCCCGGACGGATCTCGTTTACGAGGAAAGGCGTTTCCGAGGTGTCAGCCGTTCGTTGACTGTCAACCGACGAGTACTCGAGCGTGGAGAGATTAAAAGATAGATATGGAAATAAAGATGCAGAGTGCGAGAGAGATGCAAAGAATTCACTTTTTTCTTTTTTTTTTTTTTTTAAATATCATTCGAGTATCGTGAACCGATTTTCTCGAGTCACTTGACAGATAGTTTCATAGATTCGTTGGGAGGTGACCGATCCAACGCATGAATAACTGGTGTCGATGACTCACAGCCATCGACTGACATTTATGAAAAGCGTGTACCGGGGCGTATCTAGGCGCACGACGTGTGTTCGACCGGCCCTCGTCGGTTTACTTTTCGTACGATCAGAAGGATTACTTGATTGTTTCAAATATTAACTTCTACGGTAGTACAAAAGACTAATATAAGAATCTTTTGTTCGTCGATGTTTAGGATCGAGATAGTACGTGTTGTGTATGATTTCATTTTAGAATTCGAAATAAAAGTATCTCGTTGACCCTTTCAGGTATATAAAATTGAAAACAAAAATATACTCGTGCGAACGGACGAAGGAATCTTTCTCTCTCTCAACGTTTTTCTTTGTTTATTCTACTTGCATGAATATACTTTTGTTCTTAATTTGTATCACATTTTTAATTTGTGTTTCATTTGTATTCGTAATTTAATTCACTTGTATGCGTATACACTCGAAGACATGTACAAAAGGTACGATAACAATTGAAAACTTAAAGGAAGGTACACAATATACGTTCTGCCCGGAACGTGTTAATAAAGTTAAATCGAAGTCTTGCTTCGATGTATGAAAAAAAAAAAAAAAAGGGAAGTCATGCACCTGTTCCATGGATTCATTCGACGGCGTAACAGTTTTTTTTTATCGTATAAGCATTTATCTCGAATTCTGGCAGACACCTGTCGTTCCGATAACATCACGTCGACACCGATCGTGAATGGTCGTCGTGCGATCCCTCGTTTTTCTACGGTGTTAACCATTCGGCATTTACGGAAATTTCATTGGTCCGTGGCAGTCGTGCACGCTCGTTGCTCGACGCTGTTTAGAGCGCGTAAATTACGACTCGGCTTCGATCCGTTCCGCAGCTCGAATACGCGCGCCCGAATACAGTTGGAAATTGACCAAATAAACAATACGTATTTGCAGCACCAAATTTCCTTTATGCCAGCGCGGCTGATTTTTTTTTATTTTTCATTTTACTTGAGAACTTTATTTGTCGTATCAACCCTTCGCACTCGCAACGCTTAAGGCGTCTGGCGGCCACCCCGAGCGCTCGCCAGATGGATACTGTTCTTGAAAAAAAATTAATCAAAAACTTAGTCAAGCAATCGGAAAAATCCGTTGCTATTCTTCAGATAATGTATCTAAAAGTAGTGCGTAGAAATTTCAGAGCAATCGGACCGCGCGTTTACTTTTCTTTTGGGATTATCTCGAAACTACATTTTTCGAAATGGTACAACGTAAATCTCGTAAACTATCGGTCCGATTGCTCTGAAATTTCTACACGCTAGATAGAAATTCTTAGACTTTTAGATAGATTATCTGAAGAGTAGCAATGAATTTCGCGATTATTTGATTAGTTTTATTTTTTTTTTTTATTGACGATTTTTCTCGCGAAATTTCGGTGAAAAATAAAAAACAATTTCTTCGGCTCACCATAATTTTCGTAGTGGTAAAAAAAAAAATTCAATTGCTACTCTCTAGCGACAAACTCCAGAAACAGACTAATATTTTTTTTTTGTCTTTTTCACATGCCACCTAAAGAATATAATGACGGTACAGCCCACGCGCGTTTCGCGCCGAAGGCCTTCACCAAAATTTTCGAACAGCCGCCATTTTCTTTTTTGTTATCTCAAAAAATCGTTCATGCGTTCATTAAATGGTTCTTTAGTATGTGTTAAAACATAAAAATATTGTTTTCTATACTTTCGCATTTATGAATTTTTTAAGAATAGTACCCATCTGGCGAGCGCTCGGGGTAGCCAGACGCCTTAACGCGCCTGTGGTTGACCTGCACTTTTGCCCTAACGCTTGGTAGATTATAATTTTTTCAAGTAAATGGTCCAGTTTCTCAAAAAATTATTTTTGATCAAGGAGAATTCGTATACAGGGTTGTCTACGTATAAGTCCGGACATACGCAGGGTGTCGATTCTACAACAAATTTCCAAGAAAAAATTACTCTCAGACATTTTCTTTGTGCCGAATTATTCTCGAGTATTTTCACTTTCAATATGTTTTCTGCGTTTACGACTTGACACTCTTTAACCCTTTGCACTCGAGGCCATTTATTCCGGTATCTGCCAGCAACTCGAGATGGTTTCTCTTAACATTCTATTGCCATGAATTCTAAGCTATCTCGATTTGAGAATAAGGTCAACTTTACCTCACCGACAATCATTTTATTGATACGTCGAGCCCCGAAGAAATTAAACCTAAAGAAACATTAGGTACTGTAGAATTGCTGCGTGAAACCTAATGGTGTCTGAGGGTCACCTCTCGAGTGCAAAGGTTTAAACGGCCATAACTCCATCAAAATACAGCGCAAATTTAAAACCAAGTATACCATTCGAAAGAGCGTTAAATTTCCCAACTCCTTGATACAAAACCAAAATTTATCACGAAGATCGAATACGTGAAAAATTAGGTCAAACTTTACATTGTGAAAATTTCCAAAAATTTGACTTTTTCCGTATTCGTTTTTCGGTTTCAAAGACATAGTTACTTGGCGGGCACTCTTCGGGAAAAACTTCCTCGAAGTCTCAGCTTTTGAATGGTATTGCCAAAAAAAAATTGTACGGTGGTATTTTAGGGAGAAAATTACGTTTAAATGCAGAAAAGCGTTAAAAATGCCCGCCTCCTAAATCAAAACTTATTGGTTCTCCTGCGCCGAAAACATTGATTTTTTGCTGTTGTGAAATCGATCGTGTTTCAATCTCCAAATCATTTATCGGTACACCGAGGTTGATTTTGATTAAATAGTCTCTAAAAACGAAAATTCTATGGATACATGCTCAGAAACAATTATTATTCATCTCGCACTAAGGCTCTACACACGGCTCGGAGAGGCTTGAGGTGTCAAAAAGTAGGTTTTTTTCCGAATTTGGGTGGCTCGAGAGTGTCACTAAAAAATACATCAAATCCGATGTCAAGTTAATTTCAAAGTGACAAGTCGATTTTTGTTGAAAAATATCGATTTTCACCTAAAAACTCGCGCTTTTCTGCAATTTAAACGTCATTTTCTTCAGAAAATACCACTGTACAATTTTTTTTTTTTTTGACAATACCATTCAAAAGCTGAGACTTCGAGGAAGTTTATCCCTCGGGGTGCCCGCCAAACAACTATGTTTTTGAAATCGAAAAACGAATACGGAAAAAGTCAAATTTTTGGAAATTTTCACAATGTAAAGTTTGACCTAATTTTTCACGTATTCGATCTTCGTGATAAATTTTTGGTTTTGTATCAGGGAGTTGGGAAATTTAACGCTCTTTCGAATGGTATACTTGGTTTTAAATTTGCGCTGTATTTTGATGGAGTTATGGCCGTTTAAAGAGTGCCAAGTTGCAACTGCATAAAAAATATTAAAAGTGAAAATACTCGAGAATAAAGCGACACAAAGAAAATGTCTGAGAGTAATTTTTTGTTGGAAAGTTGTTGCAGAATGGACACCACCCTGCGTATGTCCGAACTTATACGCAGACACCCTGTGTAAACTTGATTAGTATCAGTATATTTTAGATGAAAGTTTCCTTGTAAGATGGTACCATTTTTTATCTGTGTGTCTCTAGCTCGAATTTGGTATAGAAACTTGTTTGCTGAGCTATGTTCTCTAAAAGCTCATCCGTGAAAAACAGCTTGAGAATACCATGCGTGTCTCAGAAAGTTTTCACGTTGTATCTTCAAGTTACGTCTTCTTATCGCAATTATTTTCGATTATTTCATTTTCCATACGCACGTCAGAAAATTCTCGATTCGCGAAAGTACTTTGCTGAAATTGTATTCAGTCTGTTTGTCTCATTCGAAATTTTATTCGAACTAAACGTCACGAATTATTTTAATTGTTTCAATTACAAGTCTATTCGCCCCAATGTGAAATTTAATTTCATTGCGACTAAGAACGCGCACCAAAGATTGTTCGTGTCGCGTTCGTTA